TTCTTCAACTGATCACAAGTTACTGCCAGACAGTGCTTCTATCTGTGTTGTTTTCAACTTACAACTTGAACATAATGTTGAGTTATCTCGTTCAGATCACCATACATATGTGTCTGGAAGCAATACTTATGTTCCATCCTGGACTTAACATACATCAATACTATTAAGAATCTATTAGGGGCATATACTGGGTAAATGAATATGTAAAGATCCCCCACATGAACTGATGACAATGAACGCTTACAGAGGGAGACTAGACTAGCATCTAGTCTCGGAAATGAACAAATCTTACAGAAAAAAATCAGTTGTTAAATTATCTTGATAAAAATGTAACACAAAGGAGCCCAGAGACTCTCTTCATTTTCAGATACTGCAGTAATCTAGACTTGCCGAACAATATAGACTGGCATTGGCTGTATCGGATATATTTGTATCAGGGTCTGTAAGACAGACTAAGAAACCTGGATGATAGAGTGTCATCATACCTCTGTGTGGGTCTTTCCTGAGGCATTCCATCTTCCTGAGGCAAGAGAGTTAACTGACTATAAAAGTCCAGTTACCACCCTAAAATCATTTCCAATCAAAATCGCGCACCGAAATCGAAATCCGGTTCGTAAACTATTGTGCAGATTTTGATCGATTGCAGGATTTGCAAAGCATGTGCACCGCCAACCGTTGTCAGTAGATATTTTCCAAATCTTTTCATGCTTTTAATCAAGGTGCTCACGTGATTTGATGCATTTCGCGATGTAAGACCCGTTTTATCACAATATAGATCTTGATTATCGATCAGATCGTCCTGACTGGGCGCCACCATTTTGTGTGAAGCAAACGCAAGTGATACGAGAGGTGGAATCACATTGGTCCATAGGAGAGACATAGAAGGGACATAACTGGTAATAGCGACTGGTGGCGCTACGACGAGCCCAGTAATTCCAGCCTAGTTCAGCAAGGGTGGAAACTGGACTGGAAAATCAGTTAACTCTCTTGCCTCGGGAAGATGGAGGCAATCATGCACCTGGCTCCAGGAGGAAGCTGGGATATTGTTGCATGAAACAAACATTCACTCCTGTGGCCAAGTGACTGAGGTCACTGACCCCAATAACATTTATGTGCCCGTCCATTTCTGATATAATATGTGATCGATGTGTCTCCTTGGCACAGGTCCATGTGTCTCCTTGTCACAGGTCCATGTGTCTCCTTGGCACAGGTCCATGTGTCTCCTTGTCACAGGTCCATGTGTCTCCTTGTCACAGGTCCATGTGTCTCCTTGTCACAGGTCCATGTGTCTCCTTGTCACAGGTCCATGTGTCTCCTTGTCACAGGTCCATGTGTCTCCTTGTCACAGGTAATGCATCACTAGATGTGCTTCTCTGATATTCACCCAGATCAACCTGGAGCTCAGCTTGCAACTCTACAGAGATCAGTGTTAATGATGAAATTGCAATATTGTTGGAAACTTTTTGCAGTTTGTTGTTTAACGCTGCACTCCTCAACATTCCAACTATATTACAGTGTCCTAGATATAATCGTGTCTGGAACAGACACTCCAGAGACATATTATTGATACCAGCAATTATAAATTCCAGCATCGTCCATTACACTGGGTAGGATGACATACTATCAACCAGGTCACCAAGTCTGATACCAACGTCGTCCCTTAGATTGGGGTACGATGCCACGCTATCCCTCTTCTGATACCAGCATCGTTCCTTAGATCGGGGTATGATGACACGCTATCCCTCTTCTGATACCAGCATCGTCCCTTACATCGGTGTACGATGACAAGCTGTAAACCAGGTCACCAAGTCTGACCATTGGACCTATTGGGGCTGTTGGGGAATTATTCCCTCCTGAAATCCCCATAGGGAGTTATGTGAGAAGCTCAACACAGACACATCAATTCGGGTAACAATGTGTATAAAATATTTCTGTTGGCCTAACAACAAGAGAAAATACTCAGTGCAGTGAACTGTAAGAGGAGATATAACTGCATCATGTAAAAAAACCAATGAACCCTATTTCTATGTGGTGAATGATGTGAGGGTGTGAGATGTCTGGCTGGGTGTGATGGAGATCTGTGCAGTGTGACGTCCTCGCTGCCAATGTGTTTCTTCTTCTTCGTCTCTCAGGATGAAACAAGGGACAGGTGGCCCAGTGTATTAATCCAGCTCAGATTGGCAACACTGTTTGTGAGGGGTTGGATTCTGAAATGTCAGAATAAGAGAAACTATTAGTGCCGATTTCTTTTGAGACATGGCATATCATCAGGTCTAGTTTCTTTTGATATATGGTGCACAATAAAATCTCATTTCTGTTGACATGTGGCACAACCTTATAACTCATTTCTGTTAAGATTAACTTTTATTTTTTTTTAGGATCAATATTATTATTGGTAATGCGATAAGACAAATGATTTAAATTGAAGTCCAAACCAGTAGTGACGTAGTTTGTATGAGACATGGTTTCACTTGAGGCTTGTGTTAATGTTACTGACAATAGAAGCTGTGTCAGGTAATACAATGGACAAGAGAAAAGGAAATCCAGACGTTGTAAACAGATGACAGGCTGTGTTACAACTCTCAGACTCCAACATGACACTCATGGAGTCAGGTTCTGTGTGAGAGGATGGTTAGAGAGGACAGACGTTTCTCCAATAGGTATCATGAGTATTAATCTCTTGATTGGAGGATTTCATTGTGAGATATATGCTATATTGCCCAATCATTGTGAGATACATCATATATTACCCAATCATTGTGAGATGCATCCTATATTACCCAATCATTGTGAGATATATCCTATATTATCCAATCATTGTGAGATATATCCTATATAACCCAATCATTGTGAGATATATCCTATATTATCCAATCATTGTGAGATATATCCTATATTACCCAATCATTGTGAGATACATCCTCTATTACCCGGGGGGGTCGGGTAGCCTAGTGGTTAAAGCCTAAGCTCGCCGAAGATCCGGGTTCGATTCCCGACATGGGTACAATGTGTGAAGCCCATTTCTGGTGTCCCCCGCCGTGATATTGCTGGAATATTGCTAAGAGCGGCGTAAAATCAAACTCACTCACTCACTCCTCTATTACCCAATCATTGTGAGGTACACCCTATATTTCCCAATCATTGTGAGATACATCCAATATTACCCAATCATTGTGAGATACATCCTATATTAACCAATCATTGTGAGATACATCCTGTATTACCCAATCATGGTGAGATACATCCTGTATTACCCAATCATGGTGAGATATATCCTATATTACCCAATCATTGTGAGATATATCCTATATTACCCAATCATTGTGAGATACATCCTATATTACCCAATCATTGTGAGATACATCCTCTATTACCCAATCATTGTGAGGTACACCCTATATTTCCCAATCATTGTGAGATACATCCAATATTTCCCAATCATTGTGAGATACATCCTATATTACCCAATCATTGTGAGATATATCCTATATTACCCAATCATTGTGAGATACATCCTATATTACCCAATCATTGTGAGATACATCCCATATTACCCAATCATTGTGAGATACATCCTATATTACCCAATCATTGTGAGATACATCCTCTATTATCCAATCATTATGTTCAGGACCTATGGGGTATTCCAGGTCCCCTGTAATCTGGCTTACATGATGAATAGATATTTTGATGGTACATGGAAAGGAGTTCAATCCCACAAAAGATGTGAGGCAGACTCCATATTTTCATATAAAATATTGCTGGAATACTGCTGACTGCAGTGTCAAACCAGATTTGCTCATTATTCTCATATCTATTATTTATTTACAAATTTATTATTATATTTTTTTATATATTTATTATACCACCAACACCACCATCATCAGCATGATCTGTGGCAGGGTCAGCCGCCTCTCATATACAGCCTGTCCTTGTATTGTATTGACTGGTCATAATCAGGGAATAAAACTCTCTATTGAATGTAACCTCTCCTGGTCTAGACAGTGCTGACAGGCAATACAGGAGATTTATTCCCAGGCCTGACAGGCATAATCAGTGCTGTATAATACAGGGCTCTGTACAAGGGAGTCCGGGTGTCCTGCTGCCGATTGTGTCCACTGTGTCACTGATGGAGAACTGACTGAGAACTGACTGGGAACTGACTGGGAACTGACTGGCAACTGACTGGCAACTGACTGGCAACTGACTGGGAACTGACTGGCAACTGACTGAGAACTGACTGGGAACTGAACTGACTGGCAACTGACTGAGAACTGACGGAGATCTGACTGGGAACTGACTGAGATCTGACTGGGAACTGACTGGGAACTGACTGGGAACTGATTGAGAACTGACTGGGAACTGACTTGGAACTGACTGAGAACTGACTGAGAACTGACTGGGAACTGACTGAGAACTGACTGAGAGCTGACTGGGAACTGACTGGGAACTGACTGAGAGCTGACTGAGAACTGACTGGGAACTGACTGGGAACTGACTGAGAACTGATGGAGAACTGATGGAGAACTGACTGTCCAGTGAATGTAGACCATGGTAGACCATGTTCATGGCGTGTGGCCAGATGGTGGTTCCAAGACCATCACCGTTGTGGGCAGAAGATTTCAGGACACGTTGTTGCCTGGGTTCACTCCAACATCTAATCTCCAGCTACCATTGCCCCTAAATACCCAGATGGAAGCCACGAGCTGAGACTGTGTCTCCACCTACCGTTGCCCCTAAATACCCAGATGGAAGCCACGAGCTGAGACTGTGTCTCCACCTACCATTGCCCCTAAATACCCAGATGGAAACCATGAGCTGAGACTATGTCTCCAGCTACCGTTGCCCCTAAATACCCAGATGGAAGCCACGAGCTGAGACTGTGTCTCCACCTACCATTGCCCCTAAATACCCAGATGGAAGCCACGAGCTGAGACTATGTCTCCAGCTACCGTTGCCCCTAAATACCCAGATGGAAGCCACGAGCTGAGACATTGCCCCTAAATACCCAGATGGAAGCCATGAGCTGAGACTGTGTCTGTACCCTGGTGATGTGTGGGTGGATGTTTCTTGTCAAGATCTTGAGGTCCCATGGTGGGTGGATGTTTCTGGTCAAGATCTCGAGGTCCCATGGTGGGTGGATGTTTCTGGTCAAGATCTCGAGGTCCCAGGGTGGGTGGATATTTCTTGTCAAGATCTTGAGGTCCCATGGTGGGTGGATGTTTCTGGTCAAGATCTCGAGGTCCCAGGGTGGGTGGATGTTTCTGGTCAAGACCTCGAGGTCTGATGGTGGGTGGATGTTTCTGGTCTAGATCTCGAGGTCCCATGGTGGGTGGATGTTTCTGGTCTAGATCTCGAGGTCCCATGGTGGGTGGATGTTTCTGGTCTAGATCTCGAGGTCCCATGGTGGGTGGATGTTTCTGGTCAAGATCTCGAGGTCCCATGGTGGGTGGATGTTTCTGCTCTAGATCTCGAGGTCCCATGTTTGGTACCCGGTCTGTCGGCACGATGAGCGAACGCTTTGACCACAGAACGACCCCGCCACCACAAGTGTAGATGATGTAATTAGTTGTCTGTATGAAATGTAGACATTGTCTGTGTAATTACTTGAAACTGCTCCAATCGGAGCTCTTATGAATTCTGAGTCAGCAACGAAACGACATAGTCTTTAATTACTTGAAATCTAAATGCATAGACGGAAAATTGTTTGGCCATGTGTGTGCGTTGGTGGATGAGTGCGTGCTTCCTGCCTGCGTGCGTGTGTGCTTGTTTGTATGTCTCTTGAATCTCAGAAGTTTCTTGATACTGCAGAATTTAAACAGCGAAACTAACATTTTTAGTCATTATGATGACAACATATAGCAAAACCCATAAAAATGGCAATTTTCTACTAGTCCTTATAATGCCTTAACTATTGGGCTTTTTGGCCAGGACTACAGGACTAAAGCTGATTTATAGGGTCTCTTGAATCTCGGATGTTTCTTTGTACAGATGTTCATGTTGTATATTTTTTCTGCAGTATTTTAATGTCTACAAATACAGGGTTTCCCTGTTTGAAGTGCATGGTGTGTGATGTGTGATGTGTGATGTGTGATGCTAACATTTAGTTTTGTGTATTGTTGTTTTGTGCGTGCTGTAGAATATATTTCCTATCAGCAGACATGTGTCAGGGAGTGTGTCGTCCACTCTCCCCGAGGTAGCAGGCACATCAGAAAACTGATCACAACTGTCACCATAACACATTAATATGCCAGGGTGTTGCTTCACTGCATCAACTATGAGTAGTTGTCAGCTGACAGTATACAGGCTCATTTCACCAACTATGAGTAGTTGTCAGCTGACAGTATACTGGTCTGTGACGTTAACCAAAAACCAGAATTCAACCACCTTTATTCCAGTGTGGTCTGTATGTTTAAACTAATATCTTCAGATGTCTGAATCTGACCGACAAGTTCATGCTTGTAGGAGGCCAAAGCGTTTGTTGTGACAGACCTATTAAGACCTATATGCCTTAGTTGATCATGCTGATGCTTAATTGATATGCTGCTTGCTGTATTCAAACACAAAGGTGCCTGATAAATGAGAAATTATATATGAATGATGCACCATGCATGATGCATCAATATTGTTCGTTCATTGGTTCGTTTGTACGTTCGTTTGTTTGTTCGTTCGTTCGTTCGAAGTGCCAGAAATGACCTTTACTTAGTTTTCCAATGTAGGGAATCAAACTCGTGTCTTTGTCATATGGAGTGATCACTTTAACCACAATGCTACCCCACTTCCCTTTCTAGCTCTGGTGTGTGAGTATATTGGGAGACCAGTGTGAATCCAGCTGTTTTGTAGGAGTCACTCAACTGTTAAGAGTTAGCCATTTTGACACTGTTTGGTTGAACAAGCCTAATGGAGACCAATGAGGAATTAGCTGCATCTTCACCCGAACCAACTGATGAAAGTGGCATTGTCTGGTGTTAACTTGTCTGATTGGTCCATTCTTGTCAGCAGCTTGCTTGTCACACATAATCAGATTAGTGCAGGGAAAGTAGCATCACAATGGTCAAGGTGTCACCCTCTGGACATCAATCAAGGTCATTGGAAGGTCATTGGAGAAGAATGCTCTTGACCATGAGATTCTACAAGATTTAACGATGTCTTGTCAGTTGTTATGTGATTTGCAAATCTTAATTGCCAGAAGAGCCATAAAAGACAAATGAAAAATAGATAGCCTTTAGGATTTAGGATTACCAGAAGCAATGACTTGGCATGAACGTGTTTCTGAGAACAGCTGTATCTTACAGCATACCTTGTTTAAAGCAAATTTGAAATTCTGATTTTAAATGTTTTCATAAATATGGAGAAATTCAATTGATAAGTCCCCTGATGTGTAGAAATATGTAAAAAAAAAAGAAGAAATCAATAGCAGAGCAGTTTAATATTCTCACTGGACAGGGAGCAGTATTGAGCCAGTGTACATGTGTAAAGACAGCTGTCCTCCCTGTTATTACTGTGTATGTTGGTGTAGTTGTCAGGCCGCTACTGTTGGTCGGGGATGCATCCCTGCATGTTCAGTCGTCCATATGCAGGATGTTCTTTCAGTAACTACAGGATTTCTCAGAGAATCAATATTCTGAATTGGCGACAGAATGTTTGATTGTACAATTTCCTCTGGTTCTAATGCATTCCTTAGAAAAATGTTGGAACTTGGACTTAATAGTATTTACCTTGCCACTGGATACAGACTGGACACTAGAGGCTGTCTGGTTGACGACTAGTTTCATCATTTGATGTGTCGTTGGGTCTTTTCTCAGCATGTCTTGATGTAATGTTCAGGATCACATTTACTAATGTCGGTTAGTAAAGTGCTGGTGAGTGAAGTGCTGGTGAGTGAAGTACTGGTGAGTGAAGTACTGGTGAGTGAAGTGCTGGTGAGTGAAGTGCTGGTGAGTGAAGTGCTGGTGAGTGAAGTACTGGTGAGTGAAGTACTAGTGATTGAAGTGCTGGTGAGTGAAATATTGTGAGTGAAGTGCTGGTGAGACAAAGTTTGTGTTGTAAGTATATGTTTTCAATATGAGAGCTTAGACACTTGTCTAAATATGAAACATCAACGCCAGAGAAAGATCACCCCTGAATATTCTGTCCTTTTGAAACATATTCCATTAGGCGTATCAGGCCAAATAGAGGTGAAATTTATAGAAATGGATCACACCAGGTGTTCACGAAAAGGGTTAGCATGTTCTGCTCTACAGGTAGATCCTGCCACTCACACAATTTGCTCATTTGCATGTCCTGAGTTGAAAATACATCACGCAGCTCATCACAGCCCATTTATCACAGAGAGACCAATCGCAAATGAGTTGTGGCTCGTAGACTCTTTCAACGAGTTTGCGTTTTCCACCTTCTGTCAATAATTCTCATTTTACTGATTTTCATTGAATTTTTTTAGAAAGAATAATGTTTTGGAGCCTATTTAGAATTTGTTGACATTTGGCTCCTTGTAGTGACCTCTGTAGACATGGTAGACAACCTGTGTCATGATGGCATCGATGGCCTTGGGTTACAAGGAGATGGTTGGGTAGCCTTGTGGTTGAAGCACTGACTCATCACGCTGTAAAACCTGGTTTATGTTCCCCCTGTCAGTACAATGTGTGAAGCCCATGTCTGGAGTCCTTCACTGTGAATTGGCGGGAATATTGCTTGAAGCAGCAGAGGACAACTCACTCACTCTGTCACGCTCTCTTCGTGGGGGGAACTGGATGTATTTCAGTGTTAGTGTGTGGTATTGGCGTGAATGTTCTGATGTAATCGCTGCTGTGACGTGATTGGCTTGTGGTAATGTTTAGCCTGAATGACAGCAACCAGACGTCGGTGACTGAGGAAGAATTAAAATATTGATAGTGTAAGAGCCACGGAGAATTGCATGCTGGGAATGATGGTCTGGGGATGATCTATATCGGCTACTGTTGAAGGAGAAGTGACATGTCGGGGATGAGTTGGGGCTAGCGATGGAAGGCGGGATGGACAGTGGACTTTGATAAGCTGAATGCAAGATGTCTATCTGGACCAGGACTCGGTCTGTGAACTTACTCTGCTGATAGAGATATACTGTCACAGGGAGAATATAGATGGATGGTTAATTGATGTTTTAATGGTTCTTTGAGAAAGAAATCTGTGAATGAAATGTTGCCTTATTTACGGTAAAATAAGTTTGGCTACTTTTCAATGTAGGAGGTCTTATTGATTAAATAAAAGCTTACATGCCCGGTCCAGAGATGGTTTCGCCACACATGACTGAAATGTTGGGGAAGGTTATACCAACATTTCTTGTACAGTGTGGCTGCCTGTCTGGTGGAAGCAGGTCGCGCAGCAGTTGGTTCAGTTGGAGTTGTTGTGGGCTGCAGTTGAGCACAGTTAATGTTGCCATGCCAACAATTAATCTACCTGTAACAATGATGCAATTAATGTGCAAGTCCTTATGGAGGACTACATTGAATCTGGTGATCAATCTCAGTGACTTGGCCTATTGCGTGTCATCCTGTCTTGTGGATCGTTGTCGTGCTTTCTGTCACTGGTTTGACTGGATTGTTCAGAGGCTGCAGTGACTAGAATATTGCTGACTGAAATTAACTTGCATCCCATTTAGAGGTTTTCATTATCTACCTGCCTGTCATGGTTGTCATGGTTATGTGGCAAGTGCTGAGTCACCAGTTTCTTGCTTGCAGAGGTATTTAACTCTCGCTGTAAGATACTTCAAACATAATGAGGCATTAGACTGCATCAACATGACGAGCACACCCATCACATCGTCACACCCATCACATCACACCGTGTGTCAAGGCTCCAGGCTCCATACAGGTGAGGCAGCATTCACCTGCCATTACATCATCACACCTGCACACATCACACCCATCACACCCATCACACCCATCACATCGTCACACCTGCACACATCACACCATGTTTCAAGGCTCCAGGCTCCATACAGGTGAGGCAGCATTCACCTGCCATTACATCATCACACCTGCACACATCACACCCATCACATCGTCACACCTGCACACATCACACCATGTTTCAAGGCTCCAGGCTCCATACAGGTGAGGCAGCATTCACCTGCCATTACATCATCACACCTGCACACATCACACCCATCACATCGTCACACCTGCACACATCACACCATGTTTCAAGGCTCCAGGCTCCATACAGATGAGGCAGCATTCACCTGCCATCACATCGTCACACCAGCACACATCACACCCATCACATCGTCACACCTGCACACATCACACCCATCACATCGTCACACCTGCACACATCACACCGTGTATCAAGGCTCCAGCTGCATCTTTTTCACATCTGAAGACAATGTTTTGACAGTTTTCTATGGCAAGCTTAGTGAAGCTTTGACATTAATTGCCTGTATCTGTGCTCTGAAATTAGTGTCGTGTGACTTTATGTCTGGGAGAGAATTGCTCTCCTCATGTCACAGGCTTCGTCAGTGAGTGCACACCTTGCATCATTGCAGGTCACATGATACCTGTGGAGGCTAGTGATTGGTCAGATCAGGAAGAAGGGGGTAGTTTAGGTGATGGCATGGGGTAGTTGTGTGCAAGAGAAGCAGACGGGTTTGATTTTATCAGATAAGATAATAAATGGAAAACTTTTGCTTTCATTTTGTGTGAGAATTTGGTGAAGATTGATTGTCTTTAAGAGTAGTCCTGCAAAGAATAAAAACAATTTATTATTTATATTATGTTTGAGATATAGACAAAAGTACAATACTCCTTTCTTGTCTGGTTGGTTTTACAACAGTAGTGATGAGGCAGAACTGTATCTCTATATGAGCTGTGGGTATATGAATGGCTATATCCCTGTGCGCTAAATGATTGTTATAGCGGCCACATTATCAAAATATGAAAAATGATTAAATCTTTACTAAAACTAAAAGATGATATTGTCTGTCATGGAGTAACAAACATATTGTCCTAGAGAGCACATTACAACATGCTATACACACTTTACCGTGAGCTGCTTCAAGCTGATCTGTCAATTATTGTGTGAGAACACAGATTGTTTGTTTTTAATTTGCATCTGTTGGTTGTCTGTGTTGCACAATGTTCTGTTGGATGTGTGGTGATCAATGAGCGGAACTGTTCGCCTCGTGTCTGTGCTGGGGCGTTGTGACCTGCCATCTCCCACTGCCTGTGTTAGGTTTATGTCTGCAGGTGGAAGCAGCTGTTTTGAACACATGGTGGCCCCTTCAACACTGGGTCATGATCGATGAAGGAAAGAATATTTAGCATTTCTGTCTCTCTCACATTGATCATTTAACAGTTTTTAATATGAGACTCAAGTATGTATTCCTGACAATCTGTGAATCATATCGGTAAATCAGTTCACTTAGTCCCCGAGTCAACTGACTTGTTGCAGACAGGTGTGACCACCACTTGATGACCATCTGAGTTGTGCCCCTTTTTTGTGCAAGGATCTTATGATTGTAATTTGAACACCAGCCCTCATGTGGGAAGGGATCATGGATAGCTTAGTGATCTGTGGCGCTGCTAGTCACTGTACAGAGTTGTGTCCCCCAGGTCTTTCAGGATCCGATGATCGCGAGTTCGAAACCCAGATTGAACTGATAATGATTCTTGGTTTGTTAGCACCATATCCCTGCTTCAGTGGTCAACTTGCATCACAGACTCCTCATGATTTTACTGAAAAAATGTCCCGAGAGGCTTATACTCTGCTAGTGTGTGTCATGAAATGATAACTATATTTTGCTCTCACTGCATCTGACCATGCCTGACTTGTGTTGCAGCCTGTGTGCCCAGCCCTGCAGTGTTCCCGCCGCCGTCGATGATGTTGATATGTGTATGAGCGATGCCTGCGGGTGGCGACACCTACGATGACCACGCCCTGATGCAGTCGTACCAGCTGCAGACCAATGAATCTTTCAACGTTGCTGACGAATCTGCAGCCAGTATACTGAAGTCTGTGAAAGCACAGGTCAGTTGACTTTCCTCCGTAGTTTCATTCTGAAAACATCATTGGGAAATCATCCATGCCAACAATACAGCGATGATTTAGAACTATTGTCATAATGAAAACCAGGTGACTTGAGGATATATTCTTTCCATGTTATGTTTGGGTTTGGCCTGCTAGCCATCGATAGCACCTGTTCAGAAGTATCACATTGGAAGGGTAGAGAAGCTGAAATCCTGAAGTCAGCCTTGTCTTCATATATAGTACACCTGTCCATGTCGTCATAGGGACAGGTGTTCTTAGAAACACCTGGATCTTGTTTAGCAGAGCTGCTGTGTCTGTAGATTATATTTATACATGTTGTATTTTAGTGTAGGAATTCATAGCTTCCTTGTGCTCTGGGTGTAGAGATTGTGCTTGAGGGTGGTTTCTGAAGTCCTCCAGATTTAGAGTGAAGACATTCTGTCCTACACCTTAGCATTGTCAAGTTTCATATAGAAAACAAATGTCTACTTGAAGCCCCTGTTAAGTATTGTCAAGTTTCATTTAGAAAACAAATGTCTTCTCGAAGCCCCTGCTAAACATTGTCAAGTTTCATACAGAAAACAAATGTCTTCTTGAAGCCCCTGCTAAGTATTGTCAAGTTTCATATAGAAAACAAATGTCTACTTGAAATCCCTGCTAAGTATTGTCAAGTTTCATACAGAAAACAAATGTCTTCTTGAAGCCGCTGCTAAGTATTGTCAAGTTTCATACAGAAAACAAATGTCTTCTTGAAGCCCCTGCTATCCTGTGTGAAAGAATGTACGTAATGCAATAACCACTTCCTTGCTACACATCACTAGTTTCTCACGGATCTGCTAATGTTGTTTCTATTTTCTGTAGGTGCTTCTGAGTTGATAGTAAGTAAATTCATGTTTGGTGAGGGTGTATAAAGTTAACTCTTATTTTTATTTCCTATATAAACACATATCCCCAATTCTTGTAAGGTGAATTTGATTTTTTGTACACTTATGTATCAACTCTGGTAAACTGTTGGAGGTTTAGATGTTTTAGAAAGTGTGGCATGGTTTCTAACTGCTTGAATACTGTTTATGTACAGATCAAGTCCTGCTTCTGCAAACAGACTATTCATTTGATATTTTAGTTTGCCTGAGGCATAGCACAATTGAATAGTGAGTGAGTAAGTATTGTTTTACGCCGCTTTATGCAATATTCCAGCACCATCAAGGTGTGGACATCAGAAATGGGCTTCACACATTGTATCCATCTGGGGAATCGAACCCGGATCTTCGGCATGACGAGCGAACACTTTAACCACTAGGCTACCCCACCGCCCCACAATTAAATAAACAGCCCCTGTACCAGCTTGCTGCAGAGAAAAATACACAGGCTGGCGCATAATGAGGGCTGTTACAATTCACTTGTGTATTCGGTGAATCGAACCGTATCCCTTCAAGAATTGAATTAGTTATTCGTGGTCACTGGAATCGAATATGTAGGATTTTTTTGTAAAGAGTGTTTTTGACACTGTCACGATGTTTTTCCCCCAACACAAAGACAAAACCCGCTGATTACCGTGAGCATGCGACACTGGAAGTAACTTGTTATTGTATTTGTTACCCTATATCCATGATACGTATCATACTCCCCTCATAGTGTATTCGTTGAAGCCCTAGCTGCCACCATGGAGGATATTCAGTTTCAATAGAAGCTTGTAATGAATTTTTTCACACAATTAGAACTGTTATTTTTAAATACAGTTTTGTTGGCAATAATATATGTTCAGCTGTAAGCTCCCATCTATCACAGAGCTGAGAGGACTTGCTTCAACATGGAGGGAGGGTGTGGTAGCCTAGGGGTTAAAGCGTTAACTTGTAACAGTGAACACCTGGGTTTGATTCCCAACATGGGTCCAGATGTGTTCTTGATGTACTCAACAGTTATGACCGAATAATGCTAACAGGGTGTGAAACTCACTAACTCACTAACCTGTCGGCTCACGGAGAGTTCACGTTATAGTGCAGGTCTAGAATTAGACACAAAAGGCACTACTACACAAAGAATGTATATATTAGAGCTGTGTATCGCCTGGTATCTTGTGATACAATTTGTGTCACAACACGGACTGACGATACTACTGGCATCACAATATACCACAACAAATACTAAGAAATGATGAAATCAATGAAATACAGCTCTAAAACCTCTTTCCTCATACATTTAATTATTTTTATCTGAAAAACGTTTACAAAGAAAACCACAAGTTAAACAGTTTTGAATGAAGGGATGGTTATTAAATGTAACAGTTAGTCGGTACGTCCCAAATACCACGTCCTTGTGTTCTGCCTTGCTTACAGGTGGTGATCTGCTACTTCTGGCATTAAGGGAGATAACTCTATTAGTTCCTGTTCTATTTATAGCACATCGTGATCTCCGAAACTGACAATTCAAGTATCCGTGTACCTAAGTATTGAAGATATCATAGGTATCTTTGAATCCTCACAGCCCAAGTGTAGATGTACATATATAATCCTGAATGATCACCCGTTGCAACCTGTGAAGATCCGGTGTAGAATAGGTCTTCAGCAACCTCTGCCTGCCGTAAGAGGCAACTAACAGGATCAGGTGGTCAGGCTTGCTGACTTGGTTGATGCATTTCATCGTATCCAAATTGCATGGATTGATGCTCATGATGTCAATCACTGGATTGTCTGGTCCAGACTCAATTATTTACAGACGGCCATCATTTCGCTGGAATATTGCTGAGTGTGGCGTTAAACAACAAACAAACAAAACCTGTTGTTGCTAACAAGATGTCCTGCTGCCTAAACATAAGCCTGGCAACAATTAGTGACCAGAGCGGACCTGATATCCCCATGGCTGTGGGTGACAGATGTTGAGTTTGGCTCCGTCTTGCTGTGATGACCTCATGTGACTCCCCATCGTGGTGCCAGGTTACACCCCCTAGTGTGACTCGGGTCGTTTAGGGTCAGCCCGTTACAGGTAATTTGTTTATGGGGATTGAGTTACACAGGTAGTTGATTGTGAGACGATTAATCAAGTGTGGGGAACAAGCGTGCCAGTTGTCACGGCGATGTGAGGCATGTGCTGCTGTTTGAGAATTATCCCTCAGACTTAGCTTTCTTTCTCCTGTGAAGTTTTGCATGGTTTTGTGCATGAGTGAAAGATTTCACCAAAATTATTAGGACACTTAGAACTGTTCCTGAAGTATTTTATTTGGTAAAATGAAAAATATGTCCAAATATCTTCATGGTCCTTGAAGCCATAGAGAAATGTTTTAGTCATATGTGCTGTAATGGGGAAACTTAAAAATGATCAAACTGTTGAAATTTCCTGGCTGTTATTGGTGCAAGTGCACTTACATGGCTAAACTAAAACCAAAATATATATTCTGTCTTTTAGAAAAATTGAAAATATGCACGAATGATATCTGCTTTATAACAAGTGCACGGGTATGATTTGATTACATCACTGTGTGTAGGTCTAGCATAGAAATCTTCAGGTGTAGTTATTGTCTTCCATCCAATTCCACTCCACACCGCAGTTCTCATTTAATATTTTCTCATTATGTAAAATTGTTGTGATGATAATGGCTCTTCTTACACAGAGATTCAGTAAACCTCGGTTTTGTCAAAACTTATTTGTAAGGCCTGAAATCCTTTTTAAGCTTGCAAGACATTTTGTATGCTTCCAAGTCTAGCACTGTATTTTTAGCCAGTTTAAAAAATCCTAGACAAACTCTCCCATTCCTTGATTGTTATTTGAAAGGTTACGAACGAAAATGTCTCCTATTTGTTTATTTTTGAACAGCTACTTTAAGCTGTAGTTGGTTATAAAAAACTTGGTATGAGAGATTAAGCCTGCAGTTTATACACAGGAAGACAAGTAGCAGTGAGTCAAGCAGTGGTGGTGTTGTGTGGTGTTATTACCCACCTGGGAGATATGAGACTTTGTGTCACAGACAGGCGAGCAGGGCCGAGTGGTTGGAATGTCAGTGATGTGGGCGTGTCTGACACCAGGTGCAGGAAGCAAGTCTTAGGTAGATACTGAACTGGGGGATTGGACAGCATATTATTTGTAGGATCAGCTGGATTGTGGTCCACTGAGAAGTTCAGCGGGGCAGACATTGCAGTCATGGATTATGTTGAATTGCGAGATTGAGGTGAAATAATTTTATGTTAGAGACCTGTGATTGTGAACCAGGTGAGAGTGACACAGGGACTGGTGGCATTTACAAGATGAGTCTGCACACAGATTCTTGGTCTTCTGTGACAAGGCAGCGTAAAGAGGATTGATGTTCTGAGATTGCATCATGAAATTGAGTCTTTACACGCACAGAAGCAAGCATTTCTCTCAGCGGACGGAGTCCTATCACTGGTGGAAATGTTATCGGGCGTGTTGTTAAATCTGATTCCTGAGACATTGATAGGAGGATAATTGCAGACAACTGTGAGGAAGATTCCTGGCAGTTTAGACTCCAAGAGAAACCATTTTTGCAATAAAAATAGAATATATGTAAACTGTTAAAGAGAATTTGTTTTGCTAATAGGATTCCTGTGCCATTAAACAGACAGCTTCAAGGCTGAAATAGAAACTTCCTTTCCCACGAAGCTTTCTTATAAAGCTGATGGCTTTCTTTGCTCAAATGATTCCATCCACATGGTCGTCAAAGTCACTGCATCTTTACTGTAAGGAGTTGCCTCCCTTAGGTGTGCCAGGAACTTATGGGTTTGAATCCCAGATTTGCCCTCATTATGTTTCTAGGCTTTTCAGCTCCATACCTGTGCTCGTGGTTTTCACCAAAGTGGTAAATGTCTAAGACCTGTATGATTTCGGGCTTTCTTCCCACCTCAAACGGAATACAGTTCATTGTGGTGCTAAGCCAATCTCACTCACTCGTTCTTCACATAGAGCAGACGGCTTCAGATGTGCGGCTAATTCAGCCCCAGACACGCTGATAGGACACAATTAACTGTCCCACCCCAGGGAAGAGATCGTGG